GTAGTTGAATGCGGGTGTGGGTGTGGGTGTGAATTTGAGTGTGGGTGCGGGTGTGAATTTGAGTGTGGGTGCGGGTGTGAATTTGAGTGTGGATGTGGTGAATATATCCATCTTATACCCACACCTATACCCAAACCCATTCATCCAAAGCCACTCACACCCACATCATCAAGTCTCTTTTCTGCTTGGATTTTATATGTGGAAAGTATTAATCGTAGATATAAATGAAAACTGAAAAAATGTCCAAGCCCAGGCTGTTTGGTATGCTTGGGTCTGGGTTATGCCTAGTCTCAGCTACACGCTAATGGGTTCTCCTTCTTATCATTGCGATACGGTAGCGGCAAGTTCTCAATTGCCGTAGATTGCTCTGCTAAGACGTACAAGTATACGAACCTGAAAAAGTTGTCAATATATTCATATTCGTAGGCTAAAAAAAAATTGATCGAACATCATTAAAGCTTCTGGACGGCGAATGTTGCCTGAAGTTGAAAATCTTGACAAATCTAGCAATATCACTTCACTGATATGTCACAGAGAACCTTCGGATGGCTCGACGATGTAAGGGAATGGTATGATATTGTATTTTAGAGACATCTAATTAACTACACAAGCTCTGATAAAAATGATGCTGAGAAATAGAAACTGAACTATTGTGCCTTCACTATCAAAACAACTTTATTAGAGTTGATTGATATTTTGCTTTATTATACTGGAATCTTGTAGCACTAATGTGAAAAGTCTTAATATGTGTTCACGAACTGCATTCCGTTTATGATTACATTATTGCATTGAATTTTAACAACATACTCACAGAAATAAATCGAAGAATACTGTTGAAATATGAGAATCAACACGATCAACACTGACTTGGAATAGAATGAGCATTCTCATAAACATTTATATGATGAGAAACTGTGATCGATCGTATTCATATAAATTATTTTTTATTTTAATAAATACAAAAAATTTTGCGTGACTTCATGATTTTTTTGATTGTTTGGTAATAAATGATGATCGATGACAAAGTTGTTTTCAGTTATGGCATGCATATTATTATTATAATATGTTTTAATATAGAAATTTGTCCGTGGAATACAGTTTTAAAATAAAGGTAGGAAAAGATATGAAGTATGGGTGAGGGTGAGGTGCGTAAGAAGTGTTGTCAGTTTAACACATTCTCATCCACAGCCTTATCTCATCCACACTTACACTCTAACTTTTCCATTGTATTCTTGGTAGAATATCGAGAATCACGCTTTTTATCAAATTTACTTTGCTCATGGTGAAAAAGAACAGCATCCAACAAATCTGTATCACTTTTGCAACATTCTGCTTTTTCTAACGAATATTAAACTTCGCTTTGGTCGTAATTTGCACATGTTTGGTACAATGTTTTTTCTACTGCATTACGATTAATAAGCAGGGTGGGTGTGGGTATTCTTTTAACATCCACACTCTGGCGAGCAAGTGTTCTTTCGAGTAACTGTCCATACGAGTAAGCGTCCTCAACTCATTATCTTTATTCTAACATGATAAAATACAATATTTGATAAATTCTCATTTTGTTTATTATTTATACAAATTGATGGTTGATATTTGATGCAAATTTTCTTTATACATTAAGAGAAACTATTGAAGTTGAAGAAAGTATGAATCTATGCTAACTTAATCAATTTTTTAAATAATGTCCATGCCGGTTTGAGAAAAGATAGAATAAAAAAGATTTTACGCTTTATTTATTGAAATAAGAAAAATAGTTTATTATTTGAATTATACAATAAACTATTTCATTGTCGAATAGCTCGACCATTGCATTGAGTACCTATTGGTGATTCGACTGTTACTGTGGAACTGTCTTCACTCAAATTTATTACACCGACAATGGGTAATTTAGTTGAATAGGTAGATGGTTTCATAGCAGGCAAAAAGAATGTCGAAAGTCCATTACATTGTCCTGCCAATTTACCAGATATTGTCATGAAGAAATAAGCTACTTCTTTCACTTGTACTTCTCCGGAGAGACAACAACACATTTCTTGATTACACAATGGAGTAACATTGTATGATCCAGGCCAATTCGGTTTCATACCTAGAATAGATAGACTGAAAAAAGATGCAAATTCAACGTTAATTCACTTACCATAGCTCAAATCTGTAGCAATACTCAGAGTAATCAAGAAAAATAGTGAATAAAACATTGTTGATTTTGATTTTTTAAATTATTGTATTAATGTTAACGTTGGGACTTAATATATACTTGAAAATGAATTGAAATCAAATTTTTTAAATCCCCTTAATCATCAATCAAAAAAAGTGTAAAAAGCAATTTGAATAGCAAATATAAGATATTAAATTGCTTTATGACTAATTGAATTTGTGATAGAATTACATTCCTGTATGCCTCCATTTCGTATGAATCTTCAAACTGAGTCCAGATTCTACCATAGAATAGCAGTGTACGAATCTTGTACATCTTACACTACTGATAATTGCAGACCCTCAATGATAAGGCATCTCTTTTTTTAATACATTCAATATGATTCGATTTTCTTAGAAAACAGCTCTGCACACCACTCGCTTCTTTTCTGTCTCTCTAGTTCTATTAATAGTCGAGCGAATGAAAAAAAATTACCAATAAACCAACTTAAAATATCATCTACTAATACATTCGTTGGTGTATTTCGCTATCGACAGAAATAACAGGTGACTCACGAGGGAAAGTTTTCAGCTGATACCCTCCATTTTAATTCATTGGTATCTCATTCGATCGGGTATATTAAGATAATAAAAAGCGTAAAACGATATCTTCCCATGACTCTTTCTTCGAAAAGTATTGTCGTTTTACTAAATTTTTGATCCATTTCTTGGTATTCACCGAAACAAATCAAATTTTAGGGTTTCGATCTGAAATTTTGCTGAAAGATAAGTCTTAGCTAAAAAGAATGTTCCTTACTCTAGATATTGAATCTTGAAGGTGTGGGTGTGGGTGTGGATGTGAGTGTAGGTGTGAGTGTGGATCTAGGTGTCAACAGAAAGTGTTATTACAAGTACGCGCGCACCCACACCCATACTCACAGTCACCCATACCCATAGTCACCCACACCCACACCCACACCCTTAGCTTTGCTTGCGATTAATATTAGCTGAACACCCTCTGTTATCTTTTGAATAGCATTATTATTGAAACGAATCACTAGCGTATTACAAAATCAAACTGATATAAGTCAGTGCACGGTATGCATATGAAAGTGCTTATAACAGAAAACTTAGACAAACATAATTTAAAAAGAACATGCTATTCTGTGTAATATTTCATATCGATTTCATTTGTTATGTAATCATTATGGTCTTCGAACACATTTTCAAAGAATTTTATTTGTTTTGTTGAACCATCAATCATACATACAATCCAGAATCTAGCTTCAGGGCGTGTTAGCTCTGGAATCTTATAAATTTCACCATTGACCAATTTATCGTGTCTTCCAATCTTGTTTATATGTGTAGTTTTTGTGTCGATATTAAATGTAAGTTCTGCTTTCGACTTGGTCAATATAGGTTCGTCCGAAAAGCGATGAACTACGTAAATATATGTCAGATTTGGTTGAATAGTGAATCTAGTGGTTTCGGGACCATAGCCGTATAGAACATCGCAGTCCAATGCCATATTTTTTTCATTTTTATTGCTAAAATAGATATGCTTTCCGTCAGATGAATATAGATGAGAATCCAAATCTCTAGGTTCCGCAGCCCATCTAAGTATAATTTCTATTTCATTTGGCTTGAGATTACTTCTTCCGAGAAAAGAAAAGTTTTTTTCTTGTCTGCGATTTTGATATGTCACCATAAAGAATTTTAACTGTTGAAGAGTTGGTTTATTTGGAGAATAAATTTCAACTTCATAAGTACCATCAGCCAGAGTATCTGGTAAATTAATCATACCACTTTGATCTGTTGTACCGTTGAAAGCTACTGCACCACCTCCCACAAGTTTTATTGTGACAATTCCATTCACTATCAAGTTATTAATAGAATCACGAATGATAAATTGTTTTGGAACGGATATTTCTATTTCCGGTACAAGACCTATCATCGTTTCAGCGATAATGTGCTGTGAATCTTCAGAATATATTGTTACTTTATAATTTCCATAATTGCTTATGTTATAAAGATTCTCGATAAACGGTTCCATAACAAGTGCTCCGAATTCTGGATGATAGACAGTTGAAAATTCAACGTTAGATGAATCAGGACCTTTAGATAAAGTTGGAAGAGATGTCTTATACCTTGGAACATACGCCGTCCTGTTGTCTAGATGAAAGATTGCCGGCGTTCCTGGCTGAATTATGGAAACATTTTCAGCTGGTGAACCAGGTGGTACAATAGCAAGTTTATGAGTAATAGCTGATATGTTCATTAATCGCTCTTGAACAGCTAATGACTGTCGTACGAAAGAATCATTAGGAGATGAACGAGAAAAAGATTGATTATGCTGTTGGTTCATCAGCCGATTCGGATTACCTTCAAAATCTTGAAAACAAAAATTTCGAAAGATAAAATCTCGAAATTTGAAAAAAGCTAGAAAATTATCACAAAGCATAGGAGAAATATTCTACCATAAAATTTTCAAACGATGACTTCAAAAACAATGTCATTTCATTTAGCGATCACTTAAGGCATATCCGTATAGCTTATAATGGCTGACAACTTTTCTTTTATTGTATTACTATATCCAGGGATAATGTGTTTGTCCACAAGTAAAGAATTAATCAGGATGGAATCACCGTTTCAACCGTATCGTAAATAAATATATGTCATACATAATCTGACAAATTTTGTACAGATTTACATACGTTATTTACGAGTTTTAATTTACTAGTCAGATAGCATTGACTATGTGGAAACATTCGAATTTCCCATTAAGATTAATTTGTGTGGTATCGTCTATGACTTTTTCGAGATATAATAGTCACAGTGGGATTATTTGAATTACAATAAAAAATGCAAGCTAAGTCATTTTAGGCTGAATTTTTCATTAGATCTCTTCTGAACAAATGGTTGATGATGTGAAGATTTTATATCATTCATACCTTCTTTCACATTCTCATCTTCAAGCTAAACACTCCGATATTTTAACGTCCATTCTTTCTTTGCTTCGCGTTTATATAATAAGTTGTACTTCCCTGTCCAAAAGTCAACTGTGATAATGATATACTCGATGTCACACGATTTTACACATTATCAATCATCATTAGATAGTGTCTTTTGAGATTCAATATAACAACCTGCATATTTTATTTCGATTCCACTTATGTAATCGTTACAAGCAAATCTATACGACTCAAAATCATATGATGATTCCTTCAGCAGAAATATGATCACTATAATAATTTGTAGCTAAAACACACTATCCCATCGTTATTCAAATCCGTCGCCAATTTTATCTACATTCTGACACGATTAATTCTATGACTGATCAGTTTTATATAACCTCCATGAGTGTCGCTCGATAAAGAGATTAAAAATCAGTTAGAGCAATAACTTGATGATCTTAGACGGAAAAGTAACAAAGCTCTCTAATAAAGAAGAGAAAACACATCAACGTACCACTTTTACTTTCGTTATTTGCAAATGTTTCCATGGGTTCACTACGTGCACTGATTGCACTAAGTCCAATTGCAGTTATAGCTTGTACTTTGAATATAAATTTCGTGCTTGATGGCAGATTCGAAATGGTTATGTTTTTGTAATTACCATTTGTGTACTCTTCAGACCATTGTTCGTCTTCCTTACTTTGATTTTTACCATGATATTTCTGATACATAACTTTGTAATTTTGCACATTTTCACTTCCACTACTTTCATCTGTCCATGTTAATGTTACACTATTGTCTGTAATAGATATTGCATATGGTGCAGCTGGTTTACTTGGCATAATAAAGCCACTTATTTCTAATCCATTATTGTAGAGAATGAGTTTAACAGTTTTATTATGATTCACTGCATATTTTTCATTAACAATAAATTTTATTCTTGAATTTTTAATATTGTTTCCTTGAGCAAATTCTTTGAATTGTTGCACACTTTTATCAAATATTTTCATATTATGAGTATTTTCAAACCACGTTTTGTGTTTTTTACGAATAGTCGACGACTTAAAATTCTTCTTATTATGTAAATAATTCTCCATATTATGTAAATACTTCTTCATATCAATAATTTGAAGATCACTGTGTTCAACGAGACACAAAGAAAGACAGAAAATATAATCATATCTAGTATCATTAATGACTTCATCTAATGACGATGATTTAATTAGAATATCTAAGCTTTTATCTTCGGATAGATTTTGAATCCACTTCGTAATTATTGTGATTTCTGCTTCCTTTTCTTTGAGCCATGATTTTAATGGTCGCCGACTAAATGGTGACGAATCAACTTCTTTAGAAACACTTAATAAAAAGGTTTCTAGCATATTAGTGTTTCCACGTTGTGCCGGTAGAGTCAATGCAATCTTTTTTCTCAAAACATGTCGCATTTTCGATAATTGCTCGGTAAAATTCGATAAATGTGTTTCCATATAATCAAGATGTGTAAATATCTTGCTTGTTGATAAATCCAATGATCTTAATTCCAAGTAACGAAGATCTTCAATCACCTTTATTGTGTGATCTATTAGACTGGATGAAATTTGTCGAACAATTTTCGTTAGGTTATTACCCAAAGGACTTAATGGATGTAGCCAGACTTCTTTTGGTACGGCTTTTTCGTTATTTACGCCTAACAATGATGATAATCCACGATAAATTTTGACAGCTTCAATAAGATTAATTTGAGTTTGGTTCAAATGAAAATCTCCATAAAATCTACAATTCCACTTATTAACGATTTTGTTTTCTTCGTTAGTCAACTTTAATTTAGCCCCTTCGTCGGCTTTAAAAATTAGATTATCAATTATCGCTTTTAATTTACCGCTAATTTCGTTTTTAAATTTACCATTCGATATTGTACGATCAAACACAAAAAATGCTTCAGTTCCATACAGAACATCAGTAACAACATGTGTTGCAAGATTTTTATTACGTAAACTTGGATGATCTAGATTGTCTTTACCAAGATGTTTCATTGTTAACTGTTGAAAATGTGTTGTGATTGAATATTTTAGTGTCACACGAGCGTTAAGGTTTGTTTTTTGATAGTCGTCAGCATACTCTGCAGAGCCTGAAACATTGAATAGGCCACTGAGTAGACTTAATTTTAAATTAGGTTTAACTCCTAAAGCCCGTGCTTTGTCTTGAAATGAATCTTCAGTAATGATTTCATAGTCAGCATACGATTGTTTATATATATTTGTGTGGTCCTCCAAGATCCGTGGAGCCCACAGAGTTACGTTAGTGATCAGTTTGTCACTACGAACATCATAGAGCATACCCAATTGAAATGGTCGTCCCAATGTGGCCATTGTAATTATATGTTCCATAGCCATTATTTTTAATGACTGATAGGAAAGAATTAAACATATCAGATGTAAACTAAGCATTGAATTTAGTGTATTCCTTTCCTATGCAACTGAAATAAAAACAAAAAAAAGATTCAAATATCCAATATATGAAAGTAAATTCATTATATAGAAAATAAGAGATACGTTTCGTGAAGTCTGTATAAGAATGAACAGATGATTTTATGATTTCTGAATTAATTAATGCTATTCAAAGATCTTAACATTGTTTTTCATTCACAGATATCTAAGCTAATCTACAGGCTTGTTAGAACTTAGATATCATATCCTCGTATTAACATTGAATGCGAAATGAGAATGGTGATTATATTGTCATATTAACTTTTATACTTCTACGGTAGAAGATCAGTCTGTTTTTTGATTGATTTACCTTCACTCTTCCGTTTTTTTTACTCTAGAGAAATTGTTTGTTTCTTAAAGGCAGAGTCTTCGATTCTAGAGACACCTCTGTTAACTCTCTTGATATTGTTTGTTTTAGAAGCAGAGAAACGAAAGAGAACAGCTAACGAAAAAGAAAGGGAAGAGGAGAAGAGAGCGAATAATAGTAATCCTCATTCAGCGTATAGTGTATACATATATATGTGTGACCATGTGGTCACGCTATATGTTGAACAACATCGAACGATGATCGTACAATCATAAATATAACATCACGCCATCATCGAGGATGATCTTGATAACTATTTCTCAGTTGTCGGTGGCTTTATAATAATGTTTTTGAATCAAAATTGTAATGAAAAAAGTGTTTTATTCCCAATCCTTAAAGGGTCAGTATAGAAAACGGAACTTAACCATACTCACATTTATACCTATCATCAAGATGTGATCCTACGATCTAGTACACTGATAAAATTACTCAAATAACTTTCTAATTTATTTTAGAAATTCATTCATTCAATGATTACATAACTTGTCTTAGTTACATTTATATTATACACAAACATTTATTATTTCATTTGACAGACCTATGGGGGATAGTAATACTTCATTGATTTATCTACTTAAGAATGGATCCTTGATTTAGCAAAGATCTTACATTCTATAGAATACTTTGTCAACAATTTTTTTGTAAAATAATTAGCGATCACAATCGAAATAAAATCAAGTAATATAATTTGTATAATCCTCTCAAACATGGTTCAATTCTGCTTATTTTTTGTTTTACAGATCTTCAGTATTTTAAACCTTTTCCTATGACTTTTATGAAATAACTTCCTTACCTTTAATTGTGTACTAGTATGTCGTCTTTGTTATGAAAAAATATGAAAGACTAAATAACAATCATCTTCTTATATACAGTTTCTCTTTATCTTTTTATTTTACTTCCGTAATTGGAATCTCTAGGTTTTTTTCCAACTTGACGACAGGTATCTATTACATTTTATCTACGATAAAGAAGAAGACCTTTAACAAATAGCGAAAATGAATTACAAAACGGTAGTTGAAAAGTTTATCTTTTAACATGTAATACAATATTGATCATGAAATGAGAAAAAACAATTTGCATTTGGAATTTCTAAGTTGGAAATTATAAAAATCCAACAAGAGTTTATCAAAATCTATCCTTACCTAAGACAAAGTAAACCTATATATAATATTTATTACATGATGTATAGTCGATTTCAATATACCGAGTATTCCAAAAGTTTTGCGACATTTTGTATTTTGCACATATCTCAGCATAGGTAAATGAGAGAACCTTGACTCTTTTTTTAAAAGATACGCCTTGAAAAGCTCTACAAGAATGCCTTTACTAAATTCTAATTGACTTTTTTCAATGGTCTTTGCTATATTCAAAAAGATGGGTTCCTATGTTAGTGGTTTGTCCCACTGCTGTATTTATACCATTTAGTAAAATGTTACGGTATTCTTTCAACTGTTGAACATTAACTTTTCGTTAACATTTTTCATTTAAATCAACATGGAACAGTTGTATAATTATCGAGGGTGTGGGTGTGGGTGTGGGTGTGGGTGTGGGTGTGGGTGTGGGTGTGGGTGTGGGTGTGGGTGTGGGTGTGGGTGTGGGTGTGGGTGTGGGTATATGAAAGAAGAAGACACCCACACTCTCAAGATCAGGCATAAGATTATTATGTGAAAAATAACAACAGTAACATACAAGTCCATTATAAGTAAGAGGATCAGAAATACAATCAATCATACTTGTGTGAGTGCCACGTCAGACAGTGTCATCTATTTTGACGGTAATGAAGTTTCGTGAGATAAATGTAGATTTGATCAACATGAATAGCATTTGAGAGAGTATATTAATAACATAATTAAAATCTAGTTCGATTGAATGCCTACAGAGAATGAAGTCAATAAAACAAAAAAGATCATGATTTAATTAAGTACGATAGTTTTATTTTCAAATTAAAAATATTACTACACTGAAAATATCCTCAGTAAGTCAGTCGTTTCATTTCATCATCCTTCGATGGTGCCAATTTACATTGGAAGTAGAACGAACAATAAGAATACGTTATCGTGAGTCATTTATCGCTGATGATGACGTGATAGAAGTAACACGTAGCTAATATCGGCATATATAAATACGTCATCTTTCAAAGAACACTACAGAATAATCAACATGTCGACATTAGAGAAAATAATAATTCGAAGGCCTATCGTAGATGATCTTCTTATCACGTCCAAATTATTAGATGATGCCATAGAAAGTTCATCAACTGAAGATATAGTACAACAACGATTGGAACGATGGTCAACAGGATTTGAGAAAGATTCCTCATATCTTTTTTATGTTGCTGAGAATGAGAAGAAGAACATAATTGGATGGTGTTCTGGTCGAAAAACACTTGAACATAGTCGAATAGTCAATGATTAAATATATGACTGTGAAGTTGGAACCATATGTGTTCAAAAAGAATATCAACATCGTGGAATTGGTAGAGAATTATGGAAAATTATTTGGAATGAAATACTTAAAAGATTTCATCCAAAAAATTTTGTTGTATGGGGAGTTGATAGAGAACATACACATCAATTTTATCGATCACTTGGTGGTACACCAATGGGAACAAAAAAAGTAGATGATATGCTTATGACTGCATATGTATGGAATGATCTTAAACCATATGATTCAACTAGTTTTGTAATATTTAAATAAATACTTAATTTTTTCGTGTACCTTACTGTAAATCAATTTGGAGTGTGGGTGAACAAGAAGATTATCCACACCCATACCCTCAAGATATATTCTAGTTTCCAGTAGTTTCTAATATTTTATTCAAATTATTTTTATAACTCGTTTTTAATTTGGAAGAGAGCAACAACAGGAAAATGATCGGAAGAATAGTTATTCGATCGAATATCTACTACAGCTATAAATCGAGGTTGTAAATGTTGACTACGATCCATCGAATCTTGATATAAAATCCAATCAACATGTAATCGATGTGAAGACCACAGTGAAATTATTTCTGATAAATTTATCGTTCGACGTACTTTCCATAATTGTTTTAAAACGTCGATAATAAATGAAGGACTTGTGGGTACCCCATGCAGTAATTTAACACCTAATCCATGAAAGGTATATAGTATTGTTAGTGCAATTTGAAATCCATAAGTATTGACTATTGATCCTAGCCAACCATGAAAAGTTGAGGAAAATGTATTGGATACACACATTGATCCGGAAGTTTTAGCAACTGTCCAAGTATCATATAAAAAATGTGATGATGTCAATATATTATATGTTATTTGTTTTGGAACAGAATTAAAATCTCCAAATAATAAAACTACAGCTTTCGGATACTTTTCTTGCCATTGCTTTATCGTTGATCGAATGATTTTCGCTTGTTCTCGACGTGCTTGTTCACTTCTGACATCTAAATGAGTATTAAAAACGAGAATGTTAGTAGAATTATCATCATTATTCAATTTAAATCGTGCAATATTCAATGTGCGAGCTCCATGACTATCCCAATCTTTACTTCCAACTATTCGTGGTGATTTTGATAGCCAGATATAATCTTGTTCCAATAGCGTTAATACGTGATTATTATACAAGATAGCAACTTGAAAATACATATGAGATAAAGGATGTACAAGATTACTATCAGCATCATCAGGTTGGTAACCAATATATTGATAATGTTTCGGTAAGTGAGAGTGCCATTGACGTAATTGATCGGCAAATGGTTCCTGTACACTTAGAATAGATGGTTTCCATTTCTTGATAGTTTCCGTTAAACGAAAAATTCTTTTTGTAAAATGATTATTTGGATCACGCTCGGGTCCATCGAATCGAATATTAAATGTCATAACAGACAACAGACCCTCTTTAATAGATTGATACTTCGTCAACATAGCCAAATCGTTTTCTTCAGTATAACGAGGAAAAATAAATAGAAAACCAATTAATACAGCAATAATTAGTAATGAAAATATAATAAAAAGCATTTTTATCATAATAATAATGATACTATTACAAGTTGCTCACATCTGCCTTATATAGGCGATGCCAAAACGAAAAAAAAATCTATTGGTTGAACAATTATGCCATTAACAAGTACAGTGTCCTGTGTATTTACGACACGTTTTGACACTCTGTCAATGACGTGGCCGTCTCATTTTTTGAAAGCAATCTATTACATCATTTGTCAGTGATTATAAATGGACTAATAAACAAGCAACACGACTGCTCATAGTGAATTACGGCGCCCTCTAAGGCATCACTGCCTTTTATTTAAATTTGAATTTTTGAAAAATTATTATTAATTAAAATCTAAATATTTTAAAATATGTGAATGAAATTTACTTGTTTACTTACAACATGTCTACTATATAGATGATGTAAGAATTATATTTTTAAGTGAGTAGAGACGATGTCGATGGAATAAATATTGTACCACTACACACTCTCATCCTCAAATTTACATAAAAAAATCAATTTTTAAAAAGAAATATATTGTCTTCTTCCGGTCAAGAAACGAAACAATTTGTTTATAATCTAAAAGTACAAGATTTGATCTTTAACTTTCTTTAATTTATTGTATCTGACTAAATAACAAAGCAGGGTAAACGAATCATTTTTTAATCTACTATATATATAAATAACAAAGAAAATGTTTGAGAGAACTAAATTTTACTCAAACTTATATTGAACTCGTTAATATTTAAACCAAGCTAATATATATATATATAATTAGTAACGTACAGGGTTTCATCTTTGCATGTCTTTTTAGATATAAACTGGTTCTACAAAAATGTGATAAATTTTCAATAATAACCTTGACTTTCAATTAAGATTATTTTTCTCTTTCGTAAGAACGAAAATAAATGACGACATATATCACGTCTACGCAATAGCATATTTATTTACAACGATCAGTACACAGTGATCTTGGTCAGAATGTTCGTAATTAAAAAAAATATATTGAAATTTTCTGTAGAATCAATATCTAAATCATAATATCATACTTTTAATATCTTTCATTTTTATAATCAAATGGATTCTTTATTACTAGTCTCATTTTATTCTTATTAATAATAAAAATAAAAATATTTTATTATTTATTACATAAATATGAAGATTCTTTTTTTTTATCTATAAAATATTAATTATTACAAAATAAAACTATACGTTTATACATATTTTACTTATTTTCACGCTGTATATGAAAAAAACGTTAAAAATGTTTTGTTGTTGTGAAACGAAAGAGGAAAAATGGATGCTTTCATGTCTCGTATATAATTATCTACATATAATATGATATTATAAATGAAACAGCTAATATACCACGTTTTAGTCTTTTTTTATAATGATTGCATATAGGTATATGTTTATTATATGTGAGAGGAGAAAAATATGCTGTTAAGAGACACGTTGGTGTCATCGATTTATTTTTTCTCGATAAAAAAATGCGATATATATTTTAATGAGCAGTCAATAGCTATATAAAAACAGAAAAAAAACGTCCATAATTCATTATTGTTTTTCTATTTGATTACAAGTAGTTCCTACTTTTAGTGCTTTGTTTTTAACTCCATTCCTAATAGAACATTATTAACAGTAAGTATATAATCAATATATAGATGAAAAATATAGAATTCAACAACAGCATAACTATTAAATGATGATATTAACAGTATTTACATTTGAATACATAAACATCACATATTTTTATATTTATATTGCCTAATCAATATTGAACTATAAAGAAATCTTATATTCATTGATTCTAAATACTTAAGTAGATAAGAGTGTATAGATAACTCAGATATTGATACTTCGAATTTTAGTTTTGAATTTTTATATAAAAACTAAGAGGAAAAAATGGTAATAATATTAATAAAAGATAATTTATCTCTTTTTTAATAGAAGATGGAAAATGAAACAAAGAAGACGAGAAATGTCCGCATACAAACAAGTCGTGAGATCAATCCATTCAACGATGAACGGATAATTTATCAACAGTTAGAGCCAAGTAAAAATATTCCTGCACAAACTGAACTAACAGCGATTACATTTAATAATGAACAAAAAAATTATCGACACCATGTACGAAGTAAAAGAAATAAGATCAATAATGATTTATCACATACGTCGGACACATTAAATTTGAATTTGAATGCAGAAGAAGCACTTCATCAAAGAGAACAGGAAATATTAGATGAGGATTTTGATAACGCTGTGGCAGAGATTCGAACAACCGAAGAAAATACTACTGCAGATCAAGATATGAAAGCTACAACAGCTATTACTGATACTGAACCACAAATCAGTCCTATTTTAGGATACGCTGAAGAGCCTCTATTACCACTTTCTAAAGCGTGTACTCCTCTCAATGATCTCCTACATAATATATCATTCTATACTCAATTAGCATTAGATGAAACACCAGAACAACCACCTGATGGATTAACAATTGATGAGAGCGCTGCAATTCGCCTTTATACAATCGAATGGGACAAACCACATCGAAGTCT